CCGGCGCAGTGGCTCATGCCTGTAATCCCAGCACTTTGGGAGGCTGAGGCTGGCAGATCACCTGCAGTCAGGAGTTGGAGACCAGCCTAGTCAGTATGGTGAAACCCCATCTTTACTAAAAATACAAAAAAATTAGCTGGGCGTGGTAGCGGGCACCTGTAATCCCGGCTACTTGGGAGACTGAGGCGGGAGAATCACTTGAACCCATGAGGCAGAGGTTGCAGTGAGCTGAGATCGTGCCACTGAACTCCAGCCTGGGTGACAGAGCGAGACCACATCTCAAAGAAAAAAAATATATATTTCCCCCTTCCCATACAAATATGCCTAATGAATAAAACCAATCCTAAAAGATTACATACAGTATTATGTAATTTTTTTACATTTTATATAATGTTATTTGATATAACAACAATTTGGAAAGGACAAAATTATAGAAATGGAGAATAGATTAGTGGTTGGAGGGGTTAGGAATGGGGAAGTGGTGGGAAGGAGGTATATGTTTATTAAAGGGCAACGAGGCTGGGTGCAGTGGCTCACGCCTGTAATCCCAGCACTTTGGGAGGCCGAGGTGGGTGAATCAGCTGAGGTCAGGAGTTTGAGACAAGCCTGGCCAACACAGTGAAACCCCAACTGTACTAAAAATACAAAAGTTCGCCAAGCATGGTGGTGCATGCCTGTAATCCCAGCTACTCAGGAGGCTGAGGCAGGATAATCACTTCAACCTGGGAAGCAGAGGTTGCAGGGAGCCAAGATTGTGCCACAGCACTCCAGCTTGGGTGACAGAGCAAGACTCCATCTTAAAAAAGTAAATAAAGATAAAAATATTGAAGGGCAACGAGGGGAGGCTTGTGGTGATAGAACTCTTTGTATATTGACTATGGTGATAGATACACAAACCTACATGTGTGACAAAACTGCATAGAACTAAACACACACAAACAAAGTAAAACTGGGGAAGTCTAAATGAGATTGGTGGATTGTATCAATATTAACATTCTGGCTGTGATATTACACTATAGTTCTGGAAGATGTTATCATGGGATAACTGCAGAAAGGGTACATGTGATATGTCTCTATTATTTCTTACAACTGCAGGTTAATCTACAATTATAAGAAAAAGTAAAAAGAGAAAAGGGAAAGAAAGTCTCTTGGTCCAGGGGAATCCTGGGCAAGAGTGAATATACACTGATAGCCACTTCATAATCCAGAATTCCAAGGGAAACATAGTTTGTTCTGTGTAAGTAGCTCTACTGGGAATTGGTGTCAGAGGCCTGGAGCTGATGAGGATTCTAGGTTCTAAATTATCAAGTGGGGAATCAATCATTCAATAGGCAAGACTAGTAAGTCCTCTCATTGGATGAGGGATCTGTTCTCTGATTGTCAAATGGTAGCTGGTTTGGATGATGCCAACAAGACGATCTAAACCCACTTTTTTTTTTTTTTTTTTGAGACAGTCTTGCTCTGTCGCCCAGGCTGGAGTGCAGTGGCATGATCTCAGCTCACAGCAACCTCCATCTCCTGGGCTCAAGCAATTCTCCTGCCTCAGCCTCCCGAGTAGCTGGGGCTACAGGTGCATGCCACCATGCCAAGCTAATTTTTGTATTTTTAGTAGAGATGGGATTTCACCATGTTGGCCAGGATGGTCTCAATCTCTTGACCTTGTGACCCACAGCCTTGGCCTCCCAAAGTGCTGGGATTACAGGCGTAAGCCACCACGCCCAGCCAAACCCACTTTTTTAATGGAGGAGGGGAGACTCCATAGTAGAAGTGACATCTCAAGGGCCTCACAGCAGTTGGTAGCTGCAGAAGCACCAAGAGCAAGGTGAAGAATCCCCAGGATAAGTGTGCATACTCTTAGATCAGCCTAGCATTCCTCCCTGCTCCAACGTACTTCCTTGATTTAAGACTGCAAGGGAGGCTGGGCACGGTGGCTTATGCCTGTAATCCCAGCATTTGCGGGGCCGAGGTGGGCAGATCACTTGTCAGGAGTTGGAGATCAGCCTGGCCAACATGGCAAAACCCCATCTCTACTAAAAATACACAAATTAGGCCAGGCACAGTGGCTCACGCCTGTAATCCCAACACTTTGGGAAGCCAAGGAGGGTGAATCACCCGACGTCAGGAGTTTGAGACCTGCCTGGCCAACATGGTGAAACCCCATCTCTACTAAAAATACAAAATTAGCTGGGCGTGGTGTCACATGCCCGTAATCCCAGATACTCAGGAGGCTGAGGCAGGAGAATTGCTTGAGTATGGGAGCTGGAGGTTGCAGTGGGCCGATATCGTGCCACTGCACTCTAGCCTGGCCAACAGAGTGAGACTCCGTCTCTAAGTAAATTAATTAATTAATAAACACACACACACACACACATATATACACACACACACACAAATTAGCTGGGTGTGGTGGCACACACCTGTAATTCCATCTACTTGGGAGACTAAGGCACGGAATGGCTTGAACCCACGAGGCGGAGGTTGCAGTGAGTTGAGATCACACCATTGCACTCCAGCCTGGGCGATGGAGTGAGACTCTGTCTCAACAACAAAAAAGACTTTAACGGAATAACGGTTCTGTTTGCAAAAGAGATGGGATGTAAACAGGGAGTCTGGTAGCTGGGCATAGGTAGCACCTATAATTCCAGCACTTTGGAAGGCTGAGGCAGGAGGATCACTTGAGTCCAGGGGTTCAAGACCAGCCTGGGTAAGATAGGGAGACTCTACAAACAATTTTAAAAAATTAGCCAGGCATGGTGGTGCATGTCTGTGGTCTCAGCTACTCAAGAGGCTGAGGCAGGAGAATCAACTGAGCATCAAGTGATGGAGGCTGCAGTGAGCCATGATCATGCCACTATGCTCCAGCCTAGGGGACAGAACAAGACTCTGTCTCTAAAAATAATAATAAAATAATAAATACAATAAATAAAATGAAATAAAAATTAAATAAAATAGGGGTCTGGAGCTGGTAGGGAAGAAACAGAGCTGTATGGGAGAAAAGAATACTTTCCCTTGTTGATATGGGATCTGTGTCCCCTATGTCTCCTCTTATTTTCTTTTGCATTCTTGCTCTGATTGACTTCCTTCCCAAGTGCCTCTTCTCTCTGACTTTCCCTGTCTCATGATTTTCCCTCTTTGCTTTGCTAAAAGACTCTGTCCCTGCATCTTATTCAGAGCACACTGACTACACTGGGCAGGAGTTACAAGAGAGAAGAGGTACTCACAGAATCCTAGATTTCTAAAACATTTAAGCTACAAAGGTAGGTGAATATCAGAGTCCAATAGTCACATATTATACAGAGGAAAACCGAAGTGCTGAGAAGGGAAATAACTTGTGTCGCTCACAGAGGGAATTTTTGGTTAAGTTGGAATATGAGGCTGGGACCCACTAGGACAGCTTCCCTAATTTTCTTTCCTTTTTTTTTTCTTTTTTTTTTTTTTTCCTTAGACAAAGTCTTACTCTGTCACTCAGGCTGGAGTTCAGTAGCGTGATCATAACTCACTGCGGTCTTGACCTCCCCGGCTCAAGTCATCCTCCAGCGCAGCTGGGACAACAGGAGTGTGCCACCATGCCTGGCTAATTTTTTTGTTTTTTATTTTTGTAGAGGTGGGGTCTTGCTGTGCTGCTCAGGTTGGTCTCAAACTCCTGGGCACAAATGATCCTCCTATTCCTTTACTCCCAAAGTGCTGGGTATAGGCCTGAGACACTGCACCCAGCCCTAGTTTCTGCAGTTTTCAAAAGACACAGCTCACTAGTTGGAGAGAAAGAGATTTCTGGGGCAGCCAATTAAAACATGGTAAGAGAAATGACAGTAATATGGTAGATAAATAATCTGACTGGGTGCACTGGCTCACGCCTGTCCCAACCCTTTGGGAGGTTGAGGCAGGAGGATCACTTGAGCCTCGGAGTTTAGGACCAGCCTGGGCAACATGCTGAAATCCCATCTCTTCAAAAAATAAAAAAATAGCTGGACATAGTGGCACATACCTATAGTCTCAGCTACTCAGGAGGCTGAGGTAGGAGGATCACTTGAACCTAGGAATTTGAGGAAAATAAAATAGAAGAAAAGGAGAAGAGAAGAGAAGAGAAAAAAGAAAAAAAGGCCGGGTGTGGTAGCTCATGCCTCTAATCCCAGCACTTTGGGAGGCCGTGGCGGGCAGATCAGCTGAGGTCAGGAGTTCGAGACCAACCTGGCCAACACCGTGAAACCCTATCTCTGCTAAAAATACAAAAATTAACCAGGCGTTGTGGTGCGTGCCTATAATCCCAGCTACTTGGGAGGGTGAGGCAGGGAGAATTGCTTGAACCTGGGAAGTGGAGGTTGCAGTGAGCCGAGATCATGCCATTGCACTCCAGCCTAGGTGACAGAATGAGACTCCATCTCAAAAAGAAAAAAAAAAGGAAAGAGGGAGGGAGGAAGGAAGGGAGGATCTATGTTCTATGGCCAACAGTACTTATCAAGTAGTTATGAGCCAGAGTTATAAACTAGCTAGATGGTTTTGTGGTAAGATTTGAGTAGAATGAAAATCTCAAGGGGTTAAAGTCCTATGAGGCAACTGTACTCTCTTACTAACTGTGGATTATTTTAAGTGTACTACACCCCTCCTCAAGATATAATGTTATACCATAAATGTTATGGGGAGAAACTGCCTAAATGAACAAACCAGCGCTCACACTGAGAACTGGAATAGAGAGTAGCCTATTTTGAACCTACTTTAAAAAAAACACTTGCATTTCAGAAAAATATCCAAAAATATGTCCAACAGGTTTATCCTGTTGGTACCAAAGACGTTCAGAAACTTCAGAGCATAGGATGTTGGCAAGAGCACCAAAGCAGAAAGTACCTCTTTCTGCATGCGAGAAACCATCATTTATGTGGGAGTGATGTTCCCTAACACAAGGAAGGGTCTCTGTTAAGCAAGTGAAGGGTGAAGGAGCTGTTGCCAGAGCCTGCCAGAAGCATCCTGGTAACCAGCTGCTGGCCCACACCTTTCCTACTTACATGGAACAGTGGAAAGTGCCAACAGGGTTCTCACGACGAATGTCTTCATATTCCTCATAGATTCCTTGCTTTTGCCTGGCGTTAACATAGTCCACCAACTCTTGGATGGTCATAGCATGGGGACCTGGAACATGTACTGAGTCCCAGTCTAAGGCAGGAGGGAGGGAGAACAGGATGATCTCATCGAAGGGATCTGGATGGCCGTTCACCTGTGGTAGGAACTGGAAATTCCAAGTGGCGAGATCAATTTTGACGTACCCACCCAGGTTTTCTGGAAGACACTCCCTGGGCAGATGCTGCGTGACCTCAGATGTCTTTAATATCTGAATCTAGAAAGTTAGAAAGAACCATGTGAGTATGTGGGGAGAGGGAAAGGCATATAGAGAGTGATAAAGAATAAATGTGTTTATATCAGGTTTGGGGGATGGGATGAGATTTTCTTGAAATACAAGGTATACTGTAAAAGTAGTAGACTACATTTCATCTGCCTGAGATTTAAGTCCTATGGATTTGCCAGATAAAAGTGTGAACTCCCAGAATATATATAAAATTCACTCCTGGAATTAGGGACACTGTTATACATCTTCTGAAAGGATGATATAGTGAACAAAAGCTTTATATTATTAACAAGGCTTCCCAGCATCGCTGCATGCTGGTGACTCTTTTTTTGGCCACTAAGAATGCATAGGTAGTAGTTATTTTTGTCAACCCCATACTCAGACAACCAATTCTAAGACCTGTTAGCTTGTGTTTTACTCAGCTTGGTATAACTGTTCACAAAGATAGGATTCTATGAAAGCAACACACCCAGAGGCAGGGTAGCCCAGGAATAATGTTAGATAACACTTTTGTTTTGAGACAGGGTCTCACTTTTTCACCTAGCCTGGAGTATAGTGGCGCGATCAAGGCTCACTGCAGCCTCAACCTCCTGGGCTCAAGTGATCCTCCCACCTCAGCCCCTCAAGTAACTGGGACTGCAGATGCACACCACCACGCCCAGACAATTTTTTTGTAGTAATCATAAGACTTAATGCTGCTCTTTGCTTGGACATAGCCATGCTGGAGCAAATTAGCTTAACTGGTTCTCCTTAGGATCTCTGTGGAATGGGGATGCTCTTCCTCCTAAAAGCTCATCTCTTTTGCTGTTGCCTCTTCTTGGAATGCCTTCTTTTCCTCCTCTGCCTCTTCATGGACCAGCACAGCTCACCTCTTCTGTGAAGTCTTTCCTGACTGCTTGAGGCAATATGCCCCTCTGCATTCCTGCAGAGCCAAAGTTCTCATACGTGTATCTCTGTGTTCCCTATCAAGACCATAAGCTTCTTGAGGGTGGACTATCTCACTTAATTTTTAATTATCAGGAACCAGTGCTTCATCTACAAAAAGTACTTAATATATTTTGAGTTTATACATGTATGCATAATTCCTATCATTCAAGTGCAAGAACTTGCCTATGGAATCCTCTCAAAGAGTTATCTTAGAAAAGATCTCTCCAGCTGGCATGGTGGCTCACACCTGTAATCCCAGCACTTTGGGAGGCTGAGGCAGGTGGATCACCTGAGGTCAGGAGTTCGAGACCAGCCTGTCCAACATGGTGAAACACCATCTCTACTAAAAAAAAATACAAGAATTATCTGGGCGTGGTGGTGGGAGCCTATAATCCCAGCAACTCGGGAGGCTGAGGCAGGAGAATCACTTGAACCTGGGGGTTGGAGGTTGCAGTGAGCCAAGATCATGCCATTGCACTCTAGCCTGAGCGACAAGAGCAAACCTCCATCTCAAAAAAGAAAGAAAAGATCTCTCATGGCCGGGCATGGTGCTCACGCCTGTAATCCCAGCACTTTGGGAGGCCGAGGCGGGTGGATCACAAAGTCAGGAGATCAAGACTCTATCTTGGCTAACACAGTGAAACCCCATCTCTACTAAAAACACAAAAAATTAGCTGGGCGTGACGGCATGCGCCTGTAGTCCCAGCTACTAGAGAGGCTGAGGCAGGAGAATCGCTTGAACCTGGGAGGCAGAGCTTGCAGTGAGCTGAGATCGCACCACTGCACTCCAGCCTGGGAGACAGAGCAAGACTCCATCTCAAAACAAACAAACAAACAAACAAAACAACAACAACAACAAAAAACCACGGTGGCTCACGCCTGTAATCCCAGCATTTTGGGAGGCCAAGGCGGGCGGATCATGAGGTCAGGAGTTTGAGACCAGCCTGGCCAATATGGTGAAACCCCATCTCTACTAAAAATACAAAAATTAGCTGGGCGTGGTGGTGTGTGCCTGTACTCTCAGCTACTCGGGAGGCTGAGGCAGAAGAATTGCTTGAACTCAAGAGGCGGGGCTGCAGTGAGCCGAGATCATGCCACTGCACTCCAGCCTGGGCGACAGAGTGAGACTCCGTCTCAAAAAAAAAAAAAAAAAAAACAAAGAAAGAAAGAAAAAAAAGAAAAGATCTCTCCTACTTTGTGTCATTAGGTGTTTAAGTAGCTAACACAGAAACAAATGTCTTCATTTTCATATGTCCTATCTTTTAATGGCTGCAATCAGTAACTGAGACCATAAAACTTTTAATCATGGGACACTCAGGAGATTATAACAGAATTAAAGTTTTTGGTTTTATTGTGGTGACAGGGTCTCACTATGCTGCCCAGGCTGGTCTTGAACTCCTGGCCTCAAGCGATCTTCCCGCCTTGGCTTCAGACTCCCGAAGTGTTAGGATTATAGGCATGAGCCACTACACTCGGCCCAGAATTAAGGTAATTTTGAACGCTTTTGAAATTGGGAAGCAACAAGATGTTCTGAGAAAACAAATGCCAGGAATAAATGTAGAAAGAGACATAATGAAAAACTTTCCTCCACAACCCTGGTGGTCAAAGGGATTGAATGATGTTTCCAGTTGAACAAATTCAAATGCCAGTTCAACGAATACAATTATATTACAAGCTGTTAAATATTAAAGGCCTATGCAGCTCTAGGATAAATTTTGGAAGTAGCAGCTATCTCTAAGTTACCTCCAGGACACAATCCTTCAGTACTATCTTATGCAAGGTGCTATAGGAAGTGAGAACCAGATAAACTGTGTCTAGTTTCAAACTTCAAGAAGCTTGTAGTACAGTAAGAGAGGCAGTCTGTATTGAACTGACTAATGAATCAGGTAGAGAATATGAGTGAATGCACTAACAGAAGCAGAACAGGCTCTAGGAGACACACCAAGAGGATTTTTTGAAGGTAGAAAATTAATTGGCAGGAATTCAGTGGTAGAGATGAGAATGTATCTATTCCCCTCCAAATAAAAAAGGGCGAGCTTGCCTTACCCTCTCCCGGACTTTGTCCTTCAGGAGGAGGCTGATGATGGAATAGGGCACTCGGAACCATATGGGTGCCCCCACAATCAGTACTTTCTTCAAACGAGCTGGAAATGCTCCCTGTGGAGAAAACACATAAGTGTAATGGAACCTGTGACTCTTCAAGCCCAAGTTTAGGTTTTCTGCTCTTCTCTCCATTCTTACCCAGCAGGGGGAGTCTATAGCCTAATTCAGGTTTGACCTCAGCAGCTACAGGAAAAGTGGTTAAACAAACTAAAGAAATTAGAAGCTGATTTACCTTTAAAAATAACAATGTTAAGTTCTTGTCTACCATAAGCTTTATGAATCAGAAACTATTCTGACTTCTCAACAGATATCCTACACATACCACACATCAACATACATATATGCCTCCTAAAAAAGTTCTGTTACTAAAATGAAGGAAAAATGAGATTATGAATAAACTGAATATTAAACATTTCTCGACCAGGTGTGGTGGTTCATGCCTATAATCCCAGCACTATTGGAGGCTGAGGTGAGTGGATCACTGGAGGTCAGGAGTTCAAGACCAGCCTCGCCAACATGGTAAAACCTGTCAGTACTAAAAATACAAAACTAGCCAGGTGTGGTGGCAGACACCTGTAATCCCAACTACTCAGAAGGCCGAGGCAGGAGAATCACTTGAACCCAGGAAGCAGAGGCTGCAGTGAGTTGAGATCACGCCATTGCACTTTACCCTGGGCAACAAGAGGGAAACTCTGTCTCAAAAAAAACAATATGGCTGGGCGTGGTGGCTCACGCCTGTAATCCCAGCACTTCTGGAAGCCGAGGCGGGCAGATCACTTGAAGTCAGGAGTTTGAAACCAGCCCGGCCAACATGGTGCAACCCCATCTCTACTAAAAATACAAAGATTAGCCAGGCATGGTGGCATGCGCCTGTAATCCCTGCTACTTGAGAGGCTGAGGCAGGAGAATCGCTTGAACCTAGGAGGTGGAGGTTGCAGTAAGCCAAGATCGCGCCACTGCACTCCAGCCTGGGCAACAAGAGCAAAACTCCATCTCAAAATAATAATAATAATAATAATAAATAAATAAATAAAAATTTAAAAATTTAAAAAATTTCTCTTTCATAACTTTTCATTCAGTCTGATGTATGCATAATCATTTTTTAATCTATTCGTTCATCTATGTATTTACCAATCAATAAATATAATCTAATGTGCCCTATGGCAAACGAGATCTAAAAAAAGGAGATACCCTCATCCACACATGATATAAAGATGAAAAAATCATTCATTCCTACTCCACAGTGCTTAGTTTTTTTGTTTGTTGGTTGTCCGGTTTTTGTTTTGTTTTGTTTTTGAGACAGGGTCTTGCTCTGTTGCCTAGGCTGGAGTGCAGTGGTACAATCACTGCTCACTGCGTCCTGTACTTCCCAGGCTCAAATGATCCTCCCACCTCAGGCTCCCAAGTAACTGGGACTGAGCCACTACACTTGGCTAATTTTTGTATTTTTAGTAGAGACAGAATTTCACCATGTTGGCCGGCTGGTTTTGAACTCCTGACCTCAAGTGATCTGCCTATCTTGGCCTTGGCCTCCCAGAGTTCTGGGATTATAGGCATCGATCCACTGCTCCCGGCGTGAAGTTCTTAATTTTTTTTTTTTTTTTTTTGAGACGAAGTCTCGCTCTGTCACCCAGGCTGGAGTGCAGTGGCCAGATCTCAGCTCACTGCAAGCTCTGCCTCCCGGGTTTACGCCATTCTCCTGCCTCAGCCTCCCGAGTAGATGGGACTACAGGCGCCCGCCACCTTGCCAGGCTAGTTTTTTGTATTTTTTAGTAGAGACAGGGTTTCACCATGTTAGCCAGGATGGTCTCGATCTCCTGACCTCGTGATCCGCCCGTCTCGGCCTCCCAAAGTGCTGGGATTACAGGCTTGAGCCACCGTGCCCGGCCAAGTTCTTAATTTTAATATGGTTAAATGTTTTCTTTTCTGGTTAGTGTATTTTGTGTCTTAAATCCTTTTCTATTTTAATGTCAGAAAAAGTACTATTTTTTTTTTTACCGGTCTACCACTGATTCCACCATGTGTATTAATTTTTCTAAGTTGGTTTTTTATTGTAAAACATACACAACAAAATTGACCTTTTAAAACATATTAAGTGTACAATTATTGGCATTAAGTATGTTCGCAATGCAGCCATCACCACTATTCATTTTCAGAACTATTTCATCATCACAAACAAAAACCCTGTACCCATTAAACAACATATCCCTATTCCCTTCTCCCCCTAATCCCTAGTAACCTTGGTTCTACTTTCTGTCTCTATGAATTTGCATATTTTTGGTCCTCATATTATTGGAATCCTACTATAGTTGTCCTTTTTTGTCTTGTTTATCCTACTTAGCATAATGTCTTCAAGGTTAATCCATATTGTAGCATGTCTCAGAATTACATTGCTTTCTAAGGCTGAATAATATTTCCTCATAAATATACCAATTTTTCTTATCTATTAATCCGTTGATGGACATTTGAGCTGTTTCCACTTGTGCACATTGGTTGTTTCCACTTGTCCATTTGAGGAGCTATTTTCTTTTAAAAATTTAAACTTTTGTTTTTGTCCTTTTGTTTTTTTTGAGATAAGGTCTCACTCTGTTGCCCAGGCTGGAGTACGGTGGCACCATCATGGCTCACCATAGCCTTGACCTCCCAGGTTCAAAGTGATCCTCCTACCTCAGCCTCACAAGTAGAATGTGCCACCATGCCTAATTTTTGTATTTTTGTAGAATAAAAATACAAGTGGTTTCATCGTGTTGCCCAGGCTGGCTTCAAACTACTGGGCTCAAGCAATCTGCCTGCCTTGGCCTCCCAGTGTTGGGATTCCAGGTGTGAGGCTCCACACCTGGCCTGTTTTTGCTATTTAAGACTTTAATCTATCTGAAGTTGATTTTTGAACATAGTATGAGATGTAGGAATCTGACATTTTTTTCTATATGGGTAGCTGTTTTGTTTTCCACCTTTACATATTAAAAAGTCCCTCTTTTCCCCAACTTAGACTTTCTATTTGTCAGTTTTAACAAAGTCACAATATCCGGGGGAATAAATATGACACAGGTAATTTAATTAACCATGTAACCATCATTCTGATTATTCAGTTTGTTTTCAGGCCTAAATAATCCTGATATGCTCATTTTATCTTTTCCTTTTCATTCTTTTTTGAAACTCAATTCATTTTTTTTTTTTTTTTTTTTTTTTAGTCTCACATAGTCACCCAAGCTGGAGTGCAGTGGCACAATATCTGCTCAAGGGTTCAACCAATTCTCCTGCCTCAGCTTCCCGAGTAGCTGGGATTACAGGCGTGCACCATCACGCCTGGCTAACTTTTTTGTATTTTTAGCAGAGATGATCTTTGACCATGTTGGCCAGGCTGGTCTTGAACTCCTGGCCTCAAGTGATCCGCCCATCTCGGCCTTTCAAAGTGCTGGGATTACAGGCATAAGTCACTGTACCCAGCCTCCTTTTAAATTATTTTAAGAAGCTGTTTCTAAGACTGGGATTATTTGGCTAAAGATTATGAATATTCTTTTTTTTTTTTTTTTTTCTTTTTTTTAAAGACAGGGTGTTATCAGCTGGGCTGGAATGCAATCATATGATCATAGCTCACTGAAGCCTCATATCCTGGGCTCAAGTGATCCTCCTGCCTCAGCCTCCTGGGTAGCTGGGACAATAAGCACATACCACCACATGCAGCTAAATTTTGTACAGTCAGGGTCTTGCTCTGTGGCCTAGACTGGTCCTGAACCCCTTGCCTTAGGCAATTCTCCCACCTCAAACTCCCAAAGGGCTGAGATTATAGATTTAAGTCACTGGAGTCAGCTTAAGGTATTATTTTTAATTATCTAAAATAAATATGCAGTAAATACTCTTTTTATAAATCTTTGTTTTCCTGATTGCTTCCTTAGCATATAATCTCAGAAATACAACTGATCAAAGGGTATGTGCATTTTTAAGGATTTATAATGCCAGATGCCTTCCAAAAGGTGTTAACTTACTGAACTGACAGTATATGAGGGTGCTATAGAGTCATTTATTTATTTGAAAAACAAATTTTTATTGTCTAGAAATATATATTTTAAAAATCCCCCAGAAAAGATGCTATTCTCTCATTTTCCCATCCTCTTCCTCTTTCCACACCTCTGAGACAAAGGACATTATTATAGTTTAGTAAAACTTCATCCAGATGTCCAGACAATACCCCAACTATGTATTCTTCTGTATTTGCAAGCTACATGTTCATATAGATACATCTATAGATCTGGTTCATCTACAGATACCAGTTAGCCTTTGTAATCCATTCCCCACTTAAGTTTCACCATCACTGGCTTTTCTGTTAATCCCTTGAGGAAAGGTTTGGGATTCAGGGTTAAATCCTTTATAACCACAGGAGAACACTGCAGGCTATTCTCCACTGACCAAGCTGCCACCCATCTCTCGTGACTGCAGCAGGTACCCCCAGACAGTCATGTAAATGGACTAGGCCCAGGTCTGTAGTTCTTTGCTCTGAAAAAATAGATGTAATAGCTTCTATTTTCTATTTATCATTTTGTGGAAATAACAGGTGTTTCCCTAGAATGGTTTTTGATTTGGTGTTAAAAGGACCTTAGACATTTAGGCCCTGAAATAAATTGTTGCATCTTTGAAGGAAAAGATGAAAGTAGTTTATCACACTTCAGTGAAGAGGCCTTTGGAGAAGTTTGTTCTAGATGCTGTATATTCGCCGTAGAGGAGTGCTGGGGATTCCCCAAATCAGTAGAACTAAAGGAAAACTGAAGAGAACAGAGTGACCTGTCAGACTGAGAATCAGTCTTTTGAGGCTGGGCATGGTGGCTCACACCTGTAATCCCAGCACTTTGAGAGGCCAAGGTGGGCAGATCACTTGAGGTCAGGAGTTCGAGACCAACCTGGCCAACATGGTGAAACCCCATCACTACTAAAAATTAGCCGAGTGTGGTGGTAGGCACCTGTAATGCCAGCTACTTAGGATGCTGAAGCAGGAGAATTACTTGAACCCAGGAGGCAGAGGTTGCAGTGAGCGGAGATCACGCCATTGCACTCCAGCCTGGGGGACAGAGAGACACCCCGTCTCAGAACAAACAAACAACAAAAAAGAATCAGTCTTTTGAAAGTGGCAAAAAGGGCTGGGCACGGTGGCTCACGTCTGTAATCCTAGCACTTTGGGAGGTCAAGGCTGGTGGATCACTTGAGGTAAGGAGATCGAGTCTAGCCTGGCCAACATGGCAAAATCCCGTCTCCACTAAAAATACAAAAATTAGCTGGGTGTGGTGACAGGTACCTGTAATCTCAACTACTTGGGAGGCTGAGGCAGGAAAATCGCTTGAACCTGGGAGGAGGAGGTTGCAGTGAGCCGAGATAGCACCACTGCACTCTATTATGGGAAAAGGAGCGAAACTCTCTCTCAAAAAAAAAAAAAAAAAAGAAAAAAAAGTGGCAAAAAGAGTAGGCTAGAAGATACTAGCTACAAGTCCTCTTTTTTTTTTTTTTCTTTTGGATTTCTTGGGAACGATTTCTTCCCAGTTAGACCGCCAGTGTTGCATGGTAACCCCATCCATGAAAAGGGCTGGAATATTGAAAAACTGCATGAAACTAAGCACTGTGGGTTGGGCAGGGTGGCTCACGTCTGTAATTCCAGCACTTTGGGAGGCCAAGGTGGCTGGATTGCTTGAGCTCAAGACCTTGAGACCAGCCTAGGCACTATGGTGAAACTCCATCTCTACAAAAGATACAAAAATTAGTTGGGTGTGGTGGCACATGCCTGTAATTCTAGCTACTCAGGAGGTTGAGGCATGAGAACTGCTTGAACCCAGGAGGTAGAGTTTGCAGTGAGCCAAGATCGTGCCACTGCACTCAGCTTTGGCAACAGAGCAAGACTTGGATCTCAAAAAAAAAAAAAAAAAAAAAGAACTCTGTTAATCAAAGAACTTCATAAAAAGTGAAAAAACAAGCTATAAATTAAGAGACAGTTTACTGTGTGCACACATTATATGTGTGTATATATATGTATCTTTATGGATTAGAATCAATAATATATTAAAAACTATTAATTCCTAAATGGAGAAATCATAAATAGACATTTCACAGAAGAAGAAAAAATACACAGCTAACAAATATATGAAAGATAGTTAATTTCACTAATAAAAGAAATGCAAGCTATACCACAAGATACCATTTCATATCCATTTGATTGAGAAAAAAATTAAGAAATCTGACATTAGTAAGTGCCGAAGAGGATGCAGACCAACGGAAATCATTACACATGGCAAGGGGGTACGACCACTTTGAAACACAGTTTGACATTGTCTTATAAAGTTAAATCTTCACAGACTTTAGGACCCAACAATCCACTCCTAGGTGTATACCCTAGAGCATGCATTCTCAATGGGGGGGATATCACCTCACCAAAGGGGTAAAATTAGTAGAACAGGGTGAGGTGAGCCAGAAAAAAAAGAAGAAATCGGGCCGGGTGCGGTGGCTCACGCCTGTAATCCCAGCACTTTGGGAAGCCGAGGCGGGCAGATCACGAGGTCAGGAAATTGAGACCATCCTGGCTAACACGGTGAAACTCCGTCTACTAAAAATACAAAAAAATTAACCGGGCGTGGGGGTGTGCACCTGTAGTCCCAGCTACTTGGGAGGCTGAGGCAGAAGAGTGGCGTGAACCTGGGAGGCGGGGCTTGCAGTGAGCCGAGATCATGCCACTGCACTCCAGCCTGGGCGACAGTGCGAGACTCCATCTCGGGGGAGGGAAAAAAAAAAAGAAATCTTACTCTTTTTATGTATACAGAGTACATAAAGAGGCCAGGCACAGAGGCCATACCTATAATCCCAGCATTTTGGGAGGCCAAGGAGGTGGTACTGCTTGAGCCCAGGAATTCAAGACCACCCTGGGCAACATAGCGAGACTCTGCCTCTATTAAAAAATAAGGAGAATCACTCAAACCTGGGAAGTGGAGGTTGCAGTGAGCCGAGATGGCGCCACTGCACTCCTGTCTGGCGACAGAGTGAGACTTCGTCTCCAAAAAAAAAAAAAAAAAAGCACAGGAACATTCTGAGTCATAAAAGTGGAATGGGCTGGGTGCCCTGACTCACTCCTGTAATCCCAGCACTTTGGGAGGCTGAGGCACACTTAT